CGACCACCACGACGATCATCGCGACGGCGGCGGCGCCCGCGGGGGCGGCGGCGGCGGCGGCGACGGCCTGGCGGCCCAGAGCTTCTGGGGCCCCCCTCGGGCACCGTGGCAGTCACGGCACTTGCGCAGTTTGGGAAGCATTCGGAACCTTCCGACGCGTCGCACGTCGATCATCGCACGGCTCCGCGACCGCCCACCGAGCCCTAAGTGCCCCCAGAAGGCCCAGCACCTCCACGCAAGGGCGGCCCTTGCCTGGGGAACCTCTCCTTGGGTATTGTGGGTTTCGTGAATCAGTGCAAGGTCTATTGACAACAACTGCGCAATTGGCTAGAACCTAAGCGCAAGCGTAGCGCGCGTGGTTCTAGTATATATATATATATATATATATATATATATATATATATATATATATATAGCAAGTGCCCCGACCCCCCATGGCAGGACGGGGCGGCCAGGGAGGTCCAAAATAGTCCAGGAGGGCCTCCAGAGGCTCCCCAGACGGCCCAAGCGGGCCCCGAGTCGCCGAAAGACCGCTCTTGGACGCCCAAGATAGGCCCAAGACGGTCCGAGAGGCCCCCCCAAGGCATTCCACGACGCTTCAAGACGCCTCTCCAGAGCGCTTCAAGTTGTCGAAACCGTTAATTTCACGAAGGTTTTGGAGAGATGTTGGCCTTCCAGCCTTTTCGGCTGTCCGACGTTCCAAGATGGCCCACTAGGCCATCAAGAGCGCCCCAAGACGGCCCAAGAGGGCCCCCAGACGGCCCCAGAGGCGCCCAAGACGGCTCCAAGATGCGCCCAAGAGGGAGGCCACGACTCTAAAATTCGACTCTCCCGCTTGAAGAGTGCCCCAGGAGCCCCCAAGAGGCCCCAGGAGGCCCCCGAGAGGCACCTAGGAGGCCCAAACAAAGCCTCAAGAGGCCACAAAACAGCCCCGAGGAGGCCCCACAACGGTCCCAAAACGGCTACCGAGAAGCTGCGAAACTGCCTTCACGACGTCCCCGACAGGCCAACCACGCGATCCAAACCAACACCCATGAGGCCTTTGACCCACCACCTAGGGCACCCGCCGCCCGCCGGCCGTCCGCGTAGCACGCACCACTCTGTACTCAACAGCTGCAGTCTCCAAGACAACACCCTGTAGTCAAGAGCCCCCGTCTTCAAGGCAACACCCTGTACTCAACAAGCTCCCGCTGCAAGAGAGCACCCTTAAGGAATTCATTCAAATCCCGACACGCCCGCCCGCCCGTCACCCGCCCGCCCGCCCGCCGCCCGCCTGGCCGCTCGCCCGCCTTCCGCGTCGCACGCACCACCCCACACTCAACAGCCTCCGCCTCCAAGACAACACCCAGCATTCAACAGCCCCCAGGGCTCCCTTGACTGCCCGGGCCCGCTCCCAAACACGCCACGACACGCCAAGAGGGCCCTAAAGATTGCTAAGACAGCCCCAAGAGGCCCCGGACACGCCGAAGATGGCCTCAGGGCGGCCGACGACGCCGCCAAAACGCCCCAAGAGCGCCTCCAGAGACCCCTCCAAAGGGCCCCGCATTTTTGCGCTCTCGCATGTTCCGCCTCCCCACGGTCCCGGACGGCGTCAGAGGCCCTTCAGATCGCTCCAAGACGGCCGAAGAGGCTCCCAAGAAAGACCAGAGACCGCCCAGGAGGGTCTCCAGTCCAGATAATTCAAGAGGGCCTCGAGAGCGCCCCAAGAGAGCCCCAAGAGCGACGCAAGAGGGCCCGACAAGCGCGACATTTCAAGGTCTCTGGCCTGAGAGGCTCCTAGGACGCCCCCGGAGGTCATCAAGAGGCTCCCAAGAAGCCCCGTGAGGCTCCCAAGAGGCCCCTCAGAAGCCCCAATAAACCCCCAAGGGGCCCCCAGGGAAGCCCCTGCGGGCTCCCAAGAGACCTCGGTAAATCGTATTTCCCAGAGCTTTCCGGGAGCATGATTCCTTGGGCTTCCGCCCACCGCCCCAACCATGTTTCCAATAGGCTTGCCGACAAGGCCAAAAAGGGGCCCTGGGTAAGCCCCCAGAGGCCCTTCCCTGGAACATGATTCTCAGGTTGCCGCCCTCTCCCCAAACCATGTTCCCTAAACGCCTGCCAGGATAAAAAACGAGAGTCCCAAGCAGCGTTACCTGCCGCCACGCTCGGAAACGCGTCAGGCCCCGAAGCCTCCAGAGGCGCCCAACGACACCCCAACAAATCATGTTCCCAGGAAGTCTTACGGCCAGTGCCACCGACGTTGAAGGAGGACGGTCCAGGACACCCAGAAATCTTCCAAACAGGCTTCCAAGAGGGCGCCGAGACAGCCCAGGGCCGCCCCCAGACGGCCCAAGAAAGCACCAACACAGACGAAAAGGGCCGCAAGAGGCCCCCAAGAGGCCCCGAAACGATGACATATCGTTCGAACACGCCCAAGATGGCCTCCGGACGGCCCACAAGGCTTCCAACACGGCCCAAAGGGACGCCAAATCAAAGGGACGCCAAAATCATGAGGGCCCAAGGGACGCCAGACACCCAATGTCGACCCAACAGGCCCCCACGAGGGCGCCGAGACGGCCCAGGGACGCCCTGCCGCGGGCACGAGGCGGGGGCCCTGCCGTGGCGCTGGGGGCCTTGTAAAGTCGCCCGAAGACGGCCCTGGATTGCCAGGAATGGCGTTTCCAGACAACGAAAACGACCAATGACCACCCGAGCTCACCCCAGAATTGGTCCCTGACTGCCCAAGAGGCCTCCAAGACGTCCCAAGAGGTCTCCAAGATAGCTCCCAAGGAGCCCCAGGAGGCACAACTAATTTGTTTTCCTTTGGTTGTTGATAGATTTTCGACTTCTCGCCTTTGAGTTTCCTGACGCTCCACGACGGCCCAAGAGGCTTCAATTTCCGCTTCAAGGCATCCCCAGAGGCCTCGAAGACGGTCACAAGACAGCCCGCGGGGGTCCCAAGACGGCGCCAGAGGCGCCCGAGGCGGCCCGAGAGGGCCCCAAGACGGCCCCAAGATGGAGCCAAGAGGGTTGACACGAACCGAAAATCCGAGTCTTCCACCCCGAGAGGCTCTCAGGAGGCCCCGAGAAGCCCCTAACAGGCTCCAAGAGGCCCCAAGAAGCCCCCTAGGGGGCCGAAGAGCATCCAAGAGGCCTCCCACGAAGGCCCCAAGAGGCAAGAATCCATGTCTTGCCTTCGGTGTTTGATTGATGTTCGAGTTTTCAGCCTTTTGGCGTCCTGACGCTCCAAGGCAGCCCAAAAGGCCTCCAAGACCAATCCAAGATAGCCCAAGAGGCCTCCAACAGGGCCCAAGACAGCTCGAGAGGGCACCAATACGGCCCCAAGGGGGGCCCAAGAGGGGCAAGACGAACCGAAAATCCGAGCCTTCCACCCCGAGAGGCTCTCAGGAAGCCCCAACCCAAGAGGCCGTCAAGAAGCTCCTCAGAGGGCCGAAGAGGTTCCAAGAAGCATTGTTTTCCCATCGGCTTCTGATGGATTTTAGATTAGAGTCCCCAGCCTTTTGGCATCCCGACGCTCCAAGACGGCCCAAGTGGCTCCCAAGACCGCTCCGAGATAGCCGAAGAGGCCTCCAAGAGGGCCCCAAGACGGCCCACGAGGGCCCCAAGACGGTGCCCGAGGCGCCCAAGACGGCCCGAGAGGGGCCCAAGAGGGCCCCAAGAAAGCCCCAAGAAGGGGAACGCGAACCCAACAGCAGAGCTTTCCGCCCTAAGAGGCCCACAGGAGGCCCCAAGAGTTCCCAAGTGGTCCGACGAGGCCCCCCAAAGCCCCCCACCAGGTCCCAAAAGGCTCACAGGAGACGTACACGGGGCCCCAAGATAGCCGAACAGTGCTCTCGATGCATCAAAATTGCTTCAAGGAGGCCCCGGGAGGCTTCCGGATTGCCCCAATGTGACCTCAAGCCGGGCCTCCACGCAGCCAAGACGGCCAATTGAGTGCTTCAGATTGCAGAACATCACTTTCCGACTGCCAGGCGAACCCTGACGATGCCCCCAAGGGACCCCAAGAAGCCCCAAGATGCCCCCCCGAGAAGCACCCAAGAGGTGCCTCCAACAGCCAATTGAGGAAGCACGGAGAACCCCCCAGAAGCCCTTCAGATGCCCCCACGAAGACCCAAGAGGTTCCCAAGAGACCCTCAGGAGGCACGACTATGTCACGCGCATGTGCTTGATAGCGCTGTCCAAGATCTTCTAGCGCGCTCCGGCCTGGGCTAGGACCTGAGCGCGCGCGAAGCGCGCGGGGGTTCTAGTATATATATATATATATAGATATATGCACCTACATACATACATGCATGCATACATACATACAAACATACACACACATACATACATACATACATACACACACACATACATACATACATACATACATACATACATACATACATACATACATACATACATACATACATACATACATACATTCATACATACATACATACATACATACATACATACATACATACATACATGCATGCATGCATGCATGCATGCATGCATGCATGCATGCATACATACATACATACATACATACATACATACATACATACACACATACATACATACATATATACATACATACATACATACATAAATACATACGTGTGTATATACATACAAATCTAATATGTATATATATATATATGTTACAGAGGGACCGCACCAGCGCGCATCCTCATATGTTTGTTCAGCGCCCCCAGCATGAGGGGGAAGTCGGAGGGGCACGAAGTCATGACCACGACACGTTCGCAGATGTCCCAGATTTCATGTTGCTCCACGTGGGCTCCAGAAACGAGCGATTGAAAAGGCATCCTGAGCCACTCCCATCATGACACTATCCCCGTCCAAAGAAGGGCCAGCGCTAACTAGAACCGGCGCTCAGGCAGAGTGTGCCCGGTCGGGCCCGAGTGTGCTCGGCCGGTCCCGTTCGCTGCCGCAGTGCCTCGCGCCCCGGCCCCGTATGCGGCTCTCTCCAGACGGCTGCGCCCCGAGCGCCCCAGGCCCTCCGTCACACGTGGATCGAGCACACGGCCCCGACGGCCAGAAGTGTCCCGCTGTCGGAGGCCTCCCGTTGTTTGCAGCGGAAGGGGAGGGCGGAGCTGGGAGGCGGAGGCCCATAGGAGGAAGGGATACCGACACCGTTGCTCAACCCTCGTCACCACGGCTGGATTCGATTCGAAATCAGGGTCAGAACGCACCATTGGGGAGGTCTGGGGAGTGGCGGTATCGGTACCATGTTTGTTCCCCTGGAGGCAAGGGCGGAGACAAAGACAACAGTTGGGGATGGGGGAGGGCGAAGAGAAACGAGGAGATGCAAAGGCGGAGATGACAGCAGGGGTGGGCAAAGGCGGAGAATCGGGGGAAGGCAAGAGAAGGTACCAGAGACGGAGGCGCAGCAAGAGGGTGCAGAAGTGAGACGCGTATGAGGAAGAGGAGGAGGAGAAGGAGGAGGAGGAGGAGGAGAAGGAGGAGGAGGAGGAGGGGGAGGAGGAGGAGGAGGAGGAGGAGGAGGACGACGACGACGACGCGGACGAGGGCAAGGAGGATGAGGACGACGACGACGACGACGAAGAGGAAAAGAAGGGGTGGAGAAGACATCCTTCACCATCCTCGGCATGTGTCCTCGCTGCCTTCGACATCCGCTCTCCATCCGTCAGTGATCCTCGATGTGGTCGGCGGGCAGAGGGTCAATGGGAAATCCAGCATCACATTTACAAACCCAAGTGGTTTCCGCCATGCCGCCGACCCCCACCAGGAGTCAGAGCTTGCGCTTGTCGTGGCAGTTTTATCGAAGACGCCTACGGCGAATCACCGCCGCCCCCTGCCGATGTGGCCGAAAGTCTGGTTAGAGCTTGGTCAAGCTGTCGGACCATGTGTTTCCCGAGTCGGTTTGAAACGCATTCGGGAAAAACGTGGGCGAGCATGCACACGAAGGAACAAAAATGGCCGATCTGGTCTCATTGACCGCTCTTCGCCAGCAGCAGGTCCTATGTTGCAGCAGGTATGTGTCTCCCGTTTGTTTATGATTGGCGCTTGAATGTGGAATTAAAGTGCCCTGATAGACGTCATCAGTCCTTGTTTTTGGGCTCCTGCTCTCTTGAGTCTCTACCGCGTTGCGTTGCGCCCGATCGAACAAGTCGGCCCTGTGCAGAGCTCGGGAGAAAGAACAAAAATGCGCCGTCAGAGCTGCACGTCGTCAAACCAACGACGCCGCGGCCGGCCTCTGGCACGATGCGGCCGGCTGTTGTTCAGCGCCGCACATGCAGTAGGGGACCATTCGTGCGCTAGTTTAGGCAGCGACGGAGCATGGTGGGACATCAGACGACTCAGTAAATGCTTCTTGCGCTTCGATACAACCGAAGACCAATCTGCAATGTAGTGCAGGCGCCTGGCAGATTCGAGCCTCTGCTTCATTCTGCGGCCAGCATCTTCCCACGAATCGCTATCGTCGAACACCCAGCCGACGATTCGCCGGAGCATTTTCCTCTGCGTAATGTTTAGGTGGTCCAGCTGCTTCTGATCCAACGCACAAGTTTCCAGCCCGTATACCAACGTAGGTGTCACGGTCGCGTTGAAGAGCTTCAGACGCAGCTTGACGTTGACGTGCGTATTCGTCAGCGAAGTTTGCAGAGAACGGAATTTCAACCATGCACAGCAAACGCGATGGTCGATAGCAGCCTGTCCGCGTTGTCGGAGGTTGCCCGGCCACGCCCTCCCAAGGTATTTGTGGGTTCTGTTAGCAGCCACAAGCTCCACGAACCTATCGGCAGTTTCGATCAGAACAGTGTCATTCTCCGTGACCGTCGTCGACAACATCTTCGTTTTCTTCACGTTGAGCTCCAGACCATAATTGCGAAGCGTCTGCGTGAGCATGTCTAGCATATCCACAGCCCCTTCCATACTGCTGGCGAATAGTAACAGATCGTCTGCAAAACGAATGTTCGACAGACGCTCCTTGCTTCCGTCCGAACAGACAGCCAGGCCATGGCCGTTCAGCTTCGCCATCCACTCGCGGATAGCAGCTTCCAGGACACTGTTGAACAGGAGCGGAGATAGTACGTCGCCCTGTCTGACGCCCCGGGTGATAGGAAACCGGAAATCATTGCCCAAGACATCTGTTTGAGATTTGTACAGCGTTCGCAATATTTGGCAATATCCAGAGGGGAGTCCCTGCGCTTGGAGAGCGCGGAACAGTGCCGGCTGTTCAACCCTGTCAAATGCTTTGCTCAGATCTACGCTGACCAGCCACAGGTCTTCGTTGAACTCGAGGCTCTTGCTCACGAGGCTTTCGGCAACAATCAGAGCGTCAGCAGTCGACCGGTCTCGTTGAAAACCAAACTGCTCTTCAGACTGTTGCGAATCTAGAATGCCGCGTATTCTGTGGAAGACCACTCGAGCAAGGATCTTGTAAGAGACGCTGAGAATCGCGATCGGCCTCCAATTGTTCGGGTCTGCGGAGTCCCCGCCCTTGTGCAAAAGTTTGAAGAAGGTCTCTCGCCAGTCAGCCGGAACGCAACCGTTCTGCAAAATTGCATTGAACATGTCAGACAAGTAGTGCAGCATATCGTCTCCGCCAAAGAGGAACATCTCCAGCAACACGCCCTTCGTGTCAGCAGCCTTGCGTCGTCTCATCACTTTGACTGCCTTCACAACTTCTTCGACAGTAGCGGCTGGCACCTGGTCCTCGTCATGCTCACCCGCGTCGGCCGGCACGCTGGACGTGTATATCTCCGACAACAGGTCGGCACATTTGCGAAAATCTGGACCCTGTTGCGAAGATCTTGCGATAGGGAATCTGTGCAGCGCTTCCAGGCGACGAAGATCACTGAAGCTAGCGAGCACCTCAGTTGTTCTGGCTGTCTGTCGTGCACGGGACTCTTTCCGGCTCAGCCTCCAGATCTCCTTTGAGATATCTCGTTTCTCGGCCGGGTTGGTCATGCATCTCCTCCTTCTTCGCAGACGGTCCAGATGGCTGCTCCCGTTGCTCTGCTGGGTGGGCAACCGGGGCCGCTGCGACTCTCCGGCTGCAAGAAGAGCGATGCGCTCCACGTCGCCCAGAGATGCCGGAGGGAATTCCTGAGCAGCGATCTTCTGGGGCACCTTGGTGGCATACATCTCCCAATCAATGTCTTTGTGCGTCTGCCGGCGCTTCCGTCGACTCCTCTGCCCAGCCAACGCCGGAGCTTGAAGGCACACCTGCACCGCCCTGTGATCTGAACCGAGGTCAAGCATGTTTGTCGGCTTTGCATTGTGGAAAGATGTGCAACTGCTGACCATGACGTAATCCAGACGGCGGAAAGTCCACTGACACTCTAGAAGCTCATCCTCGACTACGTTGCAAATCACAAGATCCAGCTCGGCAGCGAAAGCTGATAATATTGCACTTCTCCTGCCTCTTCCAACCTCGGTATTGAAATCTCCGCCCAACACGCACCAGAAGTTCTGGCTCTGGGCTTCGAGAACAGCAAAACGAATATCGCTCAAACACTCTATGAAATCATCGTGCGGGTAACCGGCGTGCGGAACGTAGACGGCTATCCATCTGTAGGTGTACCTCCCAATACGTATGTCGCAATGTAGAACTCTGCCCGAAACGGCTTTGTAGTCGAGAACTTTGTCGACCCAGCGGGCGTGGATGAGCAAAGCTACTCCTGCAAATTTCTGTCCACATAAGCTGCTTAACAGTCTGTGCCCCCCTTGCAACAGGACATCCCCATCTGCGGCCTTAGCTTCGCTAAAGCAGATGCAGTCCCAAACGAATTATCCGCGCTCTGCCAAAACCTCTGCAAGTTTGTTATCGCCGTTTAAGCGGGCGCTCTTGCAGAACATCCAGAGCGATTGCTCCTGCACGCAGGCATTGTTGTTCGACCGGGCTGCCTCCTAATGCTTCCGCTTCCTTTTGCCAACGCCTTTGGTTGGAGGGGCCCCTTTTGCCAGCTTCGCATCGGACTCAAGGCAATATCACACGATGGCAATATCACTCTACCACACGATGACAATATCACTGTTATCGCCAAGCGGCAATGAGGTGTTGCGTGGCGTTTTAGACATGTCCGGGGGGGGGCGGCGAGATACGCATGCACGTTCGCAAACCCGAACAATGGGAGAATTCCGTGTTGACTGTTTATTGCGGGCGCACGCTGCTGGAGGGCGGGATAACAATGCCCGATACCAGCGTCCAAGATGGCAGCCAATTGACCGTCGTAGTTTCCCAATTAGAAGGCGAACAGTCCATTCGAACCTTGGGACCCGCCGCTATCTGTGGATGGTATCGTCAGCGGTGGCGTCCATGCAAGTGAGGTGTTTTGGGATGGTTGCACGCGATCCCCATACAATTGGTTTCCTAAAAGGCGCTGGTGCCACGATCTTGACTCTGATTAGACATCGCCGTTTCATTAGGGCTGCGAACTGCGAAACCTGTCGCCACTCTCTCGAGCTGCGGGGATGCCCGTTTTCCTCCCCTACAATTAAACAACCTCCCTCCTCCCCTGAAGTTGTCTGAAAGATCTCCCGCCCCCTCCACGTGCTGTTTTTTTTGTTTCACACACCGGATTTTAACGCTTGTTTTCATCAATGTTTTACCATACGTTTGTTTTCTGTGTTTCAAAATGATATTCCCGCTGCAGCGTGGGCCTCATCTTCGGACCGGCGCTATGCTACCGTCGTTCAGAATAGCGCTCTCGCCCCAGCGCGGGCCGTTTTTCTGGATCTGAGTCTTGCTTCATTGTGGTCCCCCCCTCGTTTCCCCGCCTCCGCCTTCCCCTGGTCCTCTTGTGCTTCCCGCTCCTTCCGCTCCAGTTCCTGCTGCTGGTGTTCGTTTCGCCCAGCGCGAGCCACTTGTTCTGAATCCGAGACTTTCTTCATCGTTGTCGCCCCTCTCATATCCCCTCCTCCGCCTTCCCCTGGTCCTCCTTTTCCTCCCGATCCTTCCGCTTTAATTGTTGCTGCTGCTGCTGCTGCCACTGCTCGTCCTCATCCTTTTTCCTCCCGCTCATCCTCCTGCTCACCCGCCACATGCTCCTCCTGTGCACGCAGTTCCCCCTTCTCCGACTGCGCATAGCACGAAGTGGTCTTCCTGTGGGAGTCGCAGGTCGGCTATGACAAGCGTCCGCGGGTGGAGAAACATCAGCGCCATCGGAAGGTATGGGAGGGATGGATAGGATGTCAGATGAGGCGTGAGCGCACCTAGCTTGCCCTTCCCCCACTCTCCTCCCCCCCTGTCCTTCCCCCTTCCCCTCCTCCCTCTTCCTCCCCCATGTCCTCCCCCATGCGACTCCCCCCTCCCCCCCTCCTCCCCACACACCAGGAAGAGCCACAAATGTGACAGTGGTTGTTGTGAGTGTTCGAACGTACATACAAGCCTACACGCAGAGTTGTGTAGAATAGTTCCGAGATGGTTGCCCTCTGGGGATTGCACGTACAATCATGAAAACAAGTCGTCATATTGTAATTGTTCTCTGACGGACGTCCAGTCCATCTCTTTCGCAAGATGAGTTCGTTGTGCATGCTTGTAGTATCCTTAAGCTGTCCTCAGACCCGTCTGCTTGACACGCATCATTGCCATCAGGTGGTCGTCAACCTCGAGAATTTCACTCACGCGAACAAGCTTAAGATGGCGATCGGGATAAGTGGCGACTGACAGACGAGGGGAAGAGAAGCTCATGTTGTCCATGATGGGTTGCGCAGGAGTCACCATGGGATCAGAGGCTCTGCAATTGCTGCGTCCGAGGGCGACCCCTGTCAGACCGGAAAGACCAGTGCCCCGGGGAGGGCCAGCGCACATCCCCTGCCGCTGCTTCCCCTCCGGGTCTTTGGGCGCTCTCCTGGCCCTTAGTGGTTCTTGGAAGCGGCAGTGCCGTATTTTTTCCGTTTATACTGAAAACAAGACGGTCGTAAAAAACGGGTCGCCGAAACAAAGAAACGGTTCGGGGTTGGGGCCGAAGCTAGAGCCAGGAGAGAGCACGATGGAACCAGGAGAGATCGGCGCCGGAACCGGGAAGCAGACAGCGGCAGAACGAAAACGGACAAGTGGCGTTTCCACGAGCCACTCTAAGTCGCAAACTGGAACATATACATTACCAGTGGCGGGTTGTTTTTTAATCCCACGACTTTTTGAGGGTCGGGGACGACGTCGGGGTGGTGTGGTGTATACTTGTCCCCCGCTTTCCCAGGGGAACAACGAAAAATGTATACACCAGGATCCCGTGTACACCAGGATCCGCGTCCTTGTGCGAATTTCAGCGCAGGGTCGGAAAAAGCGTCGGTGTATATAGAGCTCGTTTCCCCACGAAGTCCCGGCCTGACGCCGCACGGCCGAGGGCCCTCGCCGAGGACCCTGCCCCCCAGAGGGGCTCGCAGCCCTGGGGGCAGCCCCCCGCGCCACGAGGGTGGCCGCCCGCTGCCCGGCCGGCCGCTCCTTCTGCTCGCCGCGGCTGGCCGCGCGGGGGCCTGGGCTCCTCGCCCGGCGAGCACATCGCCAGGCTCGGCTAAAGAAAATCAGAAAAATAAACACCGGGCTCGGCGACACGTAAGATTCGGATGCAACTCCTGGGAGGCCAAATTCTGATTTTGCCCTGGTCCGAAATCCGGCTTAGTCCCGCCCAATCCGGCTTAATCCCGCTTGATCCGGCTCAATCCTGCTTCGTCCGAGGCCCACTCCGGCGTGACAGCTCCCAAATGGGGCTTCATCCTCCTTAATCTTTCCGACGAAAACCTCCCAGCATTTGCTTCCTAAACGTAAGAGTGACCTTTCGCTGGAGTGACCGTTGGTGCGGGCCCCGTGGGGTCCCCCGATCGCCGAACGCGGTGCGGTAGTAGCGTGCTGCGCGCCCGTGCTTCGTCCCCCCGCGGCCCCCAGAGAGCCGCGCAGCAGAGGTCACTCTTACCCAGGGTCGCTCTTTCGTGTGGTCGCCAGGCGCTGCTGGAGGGAGCCGGAGCTTCTACAGTCGAGCATCTGATTCAGAAGTTGCCTCCCGAGAAGTCGGGCCGGCGTTTCTTGATCAGTTTGCTGGAAAGTTGGTCCAGTTTCTGGAGTACGCTCGACATTCCAGCGTTAAGGACAGAGATTGACCCAGGCTTATTGTCACAATCCAGAAACGATGCCCAAGCGAGTTGCCTTGATCAGGGATGTGGAGGAGCATGCAGTGGAAGAATGAAGGGTTGGCGAAGCCGTCATATCCCAAGAGAGAGAGAGAGAGACACAAACAAAAAGACTGAGGAGGAATCGGAGGAGGAGGAGGAGAGAGGGGAACGAGAGGAGAAAGGATGAGGGGGAGGAGAGACGGAGCGAGCTGAGGAGAGAAGATTGAGGAGGATGGGTAGGGGAATGTGAGGAAGGAGGAGGGAGGAGAGAGGAGGAGGAATAGACGGATGAGGAGGAGGAGGAGGAGGAGGGCGAGCATTAAGGCCAGAGTCCTCTTGAAAGTCTTGGATGCCTCTCGGAGTCCATTCATATGTCTCTTGATAGTTTCCTGGAGGCCTCTTGGGGCTTCTTGGGGGTCTCTTGGCGGTCCCGTGGGCCTCTTGCAGCGTCTTGGCTTCTCAAAGAAGAGGAGTCCCCATGGAGGCCCAAATGGACCCAAACACACAAGTGGAATTAACGATTTGTGTGCCTCCTCGCCGAGGCCATCTTGGACGCTCCAACGCCTCGCGGAACCCCCGCCCGGGTCAAGGAGGAGGGACTAGGGGGAGGGGTATACCCAAGTCGGGCCTGGCCCTCTACTGGAGGAATACAGTGGGGGCGCGCATCAAGAAACCGGATGTCGTTCGTCAGGGTGCCTTTGGTTTCTTCGCGCCGCGTGTTGCGCGATGGGTTCTCGCGGTTGCCAAGAAATTTTCGTGTCCAGGATCCCCTGGGTTTCTTCCCAGTTGCACTTCGGGCAAACGGCCCGCTACCGAAGAAACCCCCAGGCGCCACAGGCTCCTTGAGTTTCTTGCATCCTTGCGACAATACAGCACTCCCCGCGCACGCGGGCGAGCGCGCGTGCGCGCTGGCCTGATAGGGTTTGCACTGTCAGCATTGGCTGTATATTGCCCAGCATACGAAAGTCGCCATGTTGGCCTGGAAACTAGAGTCAACCCTTAACGGTGACCGAGTGGATTTTAAAGTTAACATGGGCTCTTGTGAGTGTTTTCTCGTGGGGACAACACAGCATTCCCCGCGCACGCGGGCGCGCGCGCGCGCGTACGCGCGCGTGTGCGCGCGTACTCGGTCGGCAAGCCGCTCGGCGACGACACTGTGAGATTACATGCGGCCAAGGCCCCCTGGGTTTCTTTGGCGACGCAACCCCAGACAGGATGTGGCGCGGCGGGGGGTGCGGGGAAATTTCGCGGCCCGCCAATGCGCCTTCGGTTTCTTGGAACCTTGGGACTGGCCGTCGGGCGTTAGCGGCGACAAGAAAATAGGTTACGGGCTTTCGCGGGGGACACGAGGATTTCCTTCGGCCACGGGAACGCTGCCGCAATCCCATGTAGCTTACACCCCAGATCGCCACAAGTTTCTTCCCAAGCCGTGCTGGCGTATTCTATGAGCGCGGCCTGCTGAGAAGCTGCTCGGGCCAGGGCCCCCTGGGTTTCTCCGTGTGACACTGTCGGTTAAGAAACCCAAGCCCTGGGCAAGAAACTTTGCGGTTTGTTCAGAGTTCAGTTTCTTGCGATGGTTTCTTGTGGCCGCGCCCCCTCTGTATTCAAAAGTATTCAAACAATAGTATGGGGACGATTCTTTGACAATTTGTAAAACATTTTAGGGCATGTTTTAACATTTGTTGTTTTCCATACAAAATCCCCCTGTAGGGGGACAGGCCCGACTTAAATGTATACCCCTCCCCGAAGCGGAAGAAGAGGGGTTGGACAAGGAAACGCCCTAATCCACTCACGCATGGGCTTGTGGAAATTTCGAGAAGCTGGCCCAAACTCTGACATGATAATTCTATTGGTCCTACTTCAGGCTGTAAGAAGCCCGGTTCGACCATGGAACCCGCATGGGGCTGCAATTCAAAACCTCCGCCCTGGTTCAGGCGGGCGCTCTGACCGCCAAGGCTTTCTGCCCAGGTCCAAAATAATTTGCATTGGGAACTGCGAATCACCAGATGTTTGTCTGTCTCGGACACGGGGTAGATTGGCTCGAAGAGGCGCAAGACCGTCGCAGGTGGAAGGCAGCGGAAGCGGCGTTTTTGGCATGCTGCTTAGGTGTGGTTTCGTAATGCTGTAGATGTCGGGCCTCCAGGCCTCTCATGACACAGTTCGTTGGTTCGCTCGACGAGCGCAGGGCGGAGCGGGTCCCCACCCGGAGGCCACGGAGCGCAGTGGCTACTCTCGGGGTCGCGCCGCAGCCGACCTCTGTTCACGAGCGGCGAACATCTACCCGCATCCGTGCCCTCGCTGTCTGGGCTCGGGGGCGCGATCCCGCAGATACGCGGTCGCACGGATGCGTCCCGCGCGGGGCATCCGCGAAAAAACGCCCCGTATCCGCGGGGTCGCGGCGCAGGGGCCCGGCCCGCGAGGCCACGGCTACGGTTAAGTCGGGCCTGTCCCTCTACAGGAGGAATATTCGGAAATAGTCAAACACATGATCTGGGAACGATCTTTGGAGTGTTGTTTGATTTGTTTGATATTTTGGGGGTATTTTTCATTTTTCACCCAAAATCCGCCTTTAGGGGGACATGCCCGACTTAAGGCTACGGATTCTTGCGCCCACGATCTGTACGTTGCGGGGCGCTCGAGGAGGTCTTTCACGGGCGCTGGCGCGGCGAAGCTGACGACGCGGGCAGGCCTTGGCCCAAGCCAGACTCACGGTCCCCTCGCCGGGCGGCCTTGGTGGGGTTGACCCCTTGCCCCGTGGCCGAAGCCACAACCACCCTCGACCATGCACGACAGGTGTGAGATACTGCTTTTTAGGGTCTGGCGAGAGACCGGGGGGTCATTGGCCCCGCCCGCCCCCGCCTCTCCCCCCCGATCACCTGACCTTGTCGGTTGCGCAGGTCCGAAGGGGGTACGCAGTACTGGCGCGCGCCGGCGTACGCGGGACTGCGCACAGCGAGAGGTTCAGGTTATAGGCCGTCACCTCCCCCCCGGCGGTTCTTCCGGGACATCGCCGAAAAATACGCAGCGATCTATAATCGCAACGTCGCGGTCGGAACGGAGAGGTCGGAAGGTCGCCGATGCCGTCCACGGCCTCTTTGCTTTGACGGGCCGCGCCGCGCCGGACCTCCGCATGGCGTCGTCGGGTGGTCGGGGAGAGCAGACGTGCCGCAAGAGGGCGGCTGGGAGCGGAGCGGTAGCAGGAGGGGAGGGAGGAGCGGGAGCAGCGGGAGAGGGAGGACGAGCCAGAGCGCAGCAAATTCGCCGTGGGCGACGGGGAGGGGCGACTGCAGGGTGCAGCACTGAGCGCCGCTGTGCGCTGCAGTCGATCTGTGCAACCCTGCCTCGGGAAGAAGCCCAGTGGACGCTCTTCGTGGGACTTCGCAGTCGCCGCCACTCGCCCACCTCCGTTGCCCCATGCCGTCCTACCCCTCCGCTTCCCTCGCCACGTGTGGGCCCCGACCTCCCGCACCCCCATCGCCCCCTCGTCCCATGACCATCCTCTGCACCGACAGCTGCCACAACCCTCTCGCCCTCGCCTCATCTCCCTCGGTGCCTCCCCAGCTCCCGCATCCTTACGCGAGCCCGCCGCCAGAAAGCTCTTGGTCTGGTTGCCAGACACATTGACGATGGGAGCCGCGCGCAAGCCCCGCCCGCGCGTGACATTCGCGATAGCGAGCGCTACTGTTCAGTTCGTGACATTTCGAGGTACTAGTCGAGGTTGCCGCAGCCGTCGTCGTCTGGCTTTGCCTGGTAGATTATGGATACCTTATGCAGCTTATGCAGCACACCAGGGTCAACGTAAGGCACCCGCGCGGGCCAGAGACACGGCTTCGGAGCAGGAGGAGGGGGGTCGGACAGAGGAGGAGGTGATATCCCAGGAGGAGGATCGGTCATAGTCAGGACTTTGGGCAAGGCGAGCCGTTCAGTGATTGGGCCCCGAAGCCCAGAAAGTCAGCGAGAATCCCTAAACCAAGTCTGCCGTAGCTGGTGTTTCTTCGGGTGGCGGCAGTTCCCGTTACGTAGTGGAATGTGGCGTGGGGGCGTCCCCAGTACACATCACTAAACTAGCTCCCACTAAACCCAGGCCTGCCAACGCCCGAGAGGACGACGAGGAAGGAGGCCAAGGCAGCATTTCGGAGGAGAACCCAATGTCCACAGCGCAGCAGGAGGAAGGAAGAGGCCCTCCTGGGCCCCCCCGGAGGCCCCGCAGGCACTCAGAGACCCTGGGCCCACAGACGCAAGAATGTCACCTCAGGGAAAGATGAGCAGGAGAAGGAGCAGGATGAGCAGGAGGAGGAGAAGGATGAACAGGAGGAGGAGGAGGAGGAGGAGGAGGCTTCCAAGGCACCCCGTCGATACGTCTAGGGGCGCCACCCGCGCTGCCCCACAAAGCCCCCCAGAGGTCCATGGAGCGCCCCAAGGCCACCCAGACGCAAGAATGCGACCTCAGGGATCCAGAGGGGAAGTAGCAGGAAGTGAGAGGAGGAGGGAGGTACTGATACCGCTGCCCTTCCCTCGTTGCCCCCGTTCGGGGCATCCTGGGAGGCCATCGTCGCCACCGCTGGATTCGCTTCGAATTCCTGGTCAGAGCGCACCTCAGGCGAGGTCCGGGGAGTAGCACGTATCGGTACCTCTTGGTTTCCTTGGGAGGGGCGAGGGCGGACTCCGGTCCAGAAGATACCTGCATTGGCCCACCGGAGTGTGTCCAGGTGGCTTTGGCGCACCCCACGTTGCCCCAAGAGGCCCCCAGGAGCCTGCAGTGTGCCCCCACAGTTCTCCAACGACCCTCCCGCCAGATTATGGATAGCGTATGGCAGGTTCTTGACGTCATATGTTGAATTCGCACAGGGTGCCTCAGCCACCAAGCATCTTCCCCTCTGTCTTAAATGCCATGTGTAGTTCGCAGGTTAAACATTGCAAAGGGAGATTCGTGTCGGAGAAGAGGGTGGCAAGCAAGAGAACCAGGCAAGGCATGTGTGAGTATGTCATTTCATTCCGGCATTGAGCACGGGTCGGGTGAGGCGCAGAAAATGAAGAAGGGGGTGAACGAGTATTGACACTGTGACGGCGGTGGTAGGACTCGCTTTAGAGCCACAACCTTGGTAGCCATTGGTTGTGGCAGGGGTGATGGGAATTGTGACTGAATGGGATTGCGGTGTGTTGTTGGTGGCGGTGTTTGTGGCGGAAAGCAAAGCTTAGAATAGAATTATGGTTCGACGAAGGCCAGGACGAGGACCAACGAAGCCGAGGACCTCAGATGCGGATGTAGGCGAGGGTGTTATGTGTCCTTCAGAGCGAGGTGGCGGCCGATTAATTGCTGGTAGCCAGGAAGATGGAGATGCTCCGAGCCGTCTTCATGCAGTTCGACACCAATGGGGATGGTACGCTCACTCTAGAGGAGCCGCGCGAGGAGGAGAACGAGCAGAAGGAGCGAGGAGAGCAGCAGAAGGCGTAACAAAAACTCTTGGAATTGATATTGAGCAGTGTTCTGGTCGCAGTTCTTGGCGCCAGGCGCAAGGCTCACCTTTCAAAGTCCCAGGTCGGAGCGCACTCAACATAAGAAACGCTCGTATGTAATTTGGCCAGTTGCGGCACGTACGTACATGCAGAGTGAAAACGAATTGCGCACGCGTGCATGCACGCGACCGAGCGTTCACTTATACACCTGCGTGTGTCTGTAACAAAAACTAGGTGTGCGCGGTCGTAAGCGCAGCGTGGCCACAACTATGCTGTGCAGACTTAAACTATGCTGTCAATTGTTGGCCAGGAAAGCTCCCAGTGAGCAGACGCGGAGTTTTAAGAGTATGTATATACGGTGCCAAAGTGTTGTGCGTGCGCGATGCATTTGCAAAGCGTTTCAAACTTAAGATGCCCCCAACGAAAGGCGCCCTTCGAACACGCGTGGGGACACCGTCGTTCGGAGGGCACATGTGATCGCAAGCAACACGCGCTACCGTCACGAACACGAACGTATCATTTAAAGTGATTGGGCGGCGGTGCCGTAAGCCGATTGGTTTCACTTGCTTGTGCTGATTGTGCCACGGGGGTGGCAGTGACTTGACTGCGTCAAGCATGACTTTCGCAAATGTTAGCTGGGCGGTGAGGAAGGTGGAGTGCCATAGAGGGTAGAGTGAGCGGGAAATGAACATGGGGGATGGAGTTGAAGGGATAGCGACGGCGACTCTGCAGGGGAAGGGTGATGGGACAGGACAGGACAGGATGTGGACGGGCGCGGTTGCGGGGTCGGGGATGAGAACAGAAACGGAATTGCACGGGACGGTGCGTGACGTGACGGGGCTACAGGAGAGACGGGAAGAGGGGAGGACAGGAGAGCGGGAGACAGGACAGTACCAGGGCAGGGCAAGAAAGGAGAGGGGGTGGGTGGGGCCAGCGGAATAGATGAAGGCCTGGGTTGCCTCGAAACCTCAGTTTAATCGCCAGCTGCTGGCTGGGGCTGTCGCTTCCGCACCTGTTTGGTGGGCGAGTGCGCGTCCATTGGGGGTCCATGGCCCTCACATACAGCCACCATGTTGAAGGAAGGACCGCTTCCGCTCAGGATCCGCTCTTGTTTGCGGGCCGTTCCGTAGATTTAGGTCGGGGAATTTGTTCGTGGCCGAAGTTCGCGATGGCCAGACAGGCCACGTTGCTCCCCATCTGCGGTCGGGAACGTCATCTTGGCGCATCGCTCCGCCAGTTTTGGCCCACCACGCTTCGGCGCGACGCGCTAATCACTTCCCCAGTCCCAGGCGTCAGCGTTACTAGCTGATCCCAGCCTCCCGCCCCGCGGAGCGCAGCGACACGCAATCCGCTTGCAAGGCAAAGCTTGTCGCCGTGGCCGCCGCCGCGACAGGCTATGCAAAAGTTCCTGACCGTAGCGCTCCTCATGGCAGCACGATGACCGTGCCAGGTGAAGTCAAACGATTGGAGCGGAGCTACTCATGAGCGGAGCTAACCCACTCGTTGTTGATCTACAAGGAAACCAACAACAACGAACACCAAACAAAAACACACACAACATGTAAGTTTAACAGTTGGCGATCCGGGGGGTCCAAGCTCGGCCCGCTCGTGGAGCCCCGGCGCGTCGACGACGATTGGAGCGCATGTGATGTAAAAAATGGAGGAATCAAACGAGGAAAAAACGTACCGATAATCGGCGTATATTGAACGGCCCTGGGCGTTTACTAACAGCCCTACTCTGTTCGATTCCTCTCTTGAGTGTGTGTATGTGTGTGCGTGTGTTACTAAAGGGCTTAACTTGTCGGGGAGTTTTTGTATCAGGGTTATTGTTGCTGCTCCTGAAGGAAGAGGTTCAAATTGCAGTGTAAATGACCCGCAGACGACATGTGTGCACCTCACCGCGCTGGCGTCTCCTGAGGCGTCATCGGTTCTCGACCCAGGAATGGTCCAGTCAAGACGCTGAAATAAGGAACAGTTTGGGTTCGGAAGGGGCTCGATGTTCCTTAGGTTCCTCCAGTGCTGTTCCTCTTGCCCTCCTGGGGCACGGAGGCGCTTACATGGCCAAGAAGGGGCTTCGTTCCTTTTTTGCGTTCCTTCTTTCACCGGCCCGACTGTACCGCGTTGAAGCGGGGCGTGAAGGGAGTCCAGACATGGTGCGGGGCGTGGGCGCCGTTCCCGTGAAGGAGACGGAGGAGTGGAGAAGAGGCACGTATTTCATTCCACCATCTCATCCGATTTGTCTCTTGGTCTTGCTCCCTCCCGTGTCTTATCGTCTGAGCTGTTTCGGAGTCGTCGCTGGCAGACACTGCGTCCAGGCGGTGGCAGTCCAGCCCCCCGCCATCACAAACCGATCCCGAAGCCCGCCGGTCAGGAGCTGAACCAGGGGCTAGTGAATGCGGGCGTGGCCGACGCCAATTCGCTGCGAAACTTGGCCAAGGCGTCGCGGCCGCTCCCTCCCTGATGCGCCACCCTGTCGGAGCCGGCCGGACCCTGTCGGAGCCGGCGCGGTGAGTGCTACGTGCTCATTGGTAGTCGGAGTCACCCTGTCGGAGCCGGCCAGTCCCCCTAGAGCGGTGTCGCCACCACCGATCGTCGCTCTCCATGTCGAACGTCAGGGGATTGAAGGCACCTTCCTGGCGAGGTTCACACCCCAGAGGAGCTTCTGGATGGAGCTCCGAAGCCCTGCTGGACGCAGGCGGATGTCTCACATCAGGGTCGGGGTATCCTGCCATCGCTGGACGGCGTCCTGAGACCAGCGTCAGCGTCGGGGTCCCCAGGCCTGGCCACGCGCTGGTCTCCAGAAGTCAGGAGGGAAAAGTCGACACAGACACAAAGAATCGCCGACCCACAGGAAAAGATTGAGGAGGGAAAAGTCGACACAGACACAAAGAATCGCCGACCCACAGGAAAAAATATTGGGAGATATGGGGAATGGGGGGAAGACGAACAGCCAGAAACCAGTGAGAAATATTGTATTGGGAATCCTGGGAGCTGTGTCTATGTATGTGTCCCTGGGCCCCTTTTAGCCAGGGGATGGGCAAATTTGGGGAATCCTGGGATCTGTGTCTGTCTATGTGTGTGTGTGTGTGTCCCTGGGGCCCCTTTTCATCCAGGGGAGGGGGCCGACGTGGCCACGCCGCGGTCAGGGTCTGGAGGGCAGGCGCCCCCCTCTGACACAGCGCGCGCGCGGTTACATTCCTCGTCGTCCTCGTATAGGGGCATTCGGATTACGAAACACCCATTCATTGCGCCGAGCAGTTTCGACTGATCGCCGTGACAGGAATTTTTCGAAGCAAAGTTTCGAGCGGCAGTTGTTAACGGCGAGCAGTGTTTCCCCCTTCGTTGCGAAAGACTTCATGACAGGCAGGTCCACGGGCGCAGAGCTTCATCTTATATGTGCAGTGTACTGATGATGCGGGGTGTCGCGCTTCAGAATCCCGATCTGGCCAGGTTTGCGGTCCAGCGGAGAGCATAGCCTCTCCAGCGAATCTGCAAATTGCTCAATGAAGCGCTTCGAGGGGGCACGGCCACATTGGTTGTCGCCATGAAGTTGGTAGGTGACCTGTTGTGGATCTCGTCCTCGGCAGTGGCGCTACCCACGACTGACCCTTTTTCGAGTCTATTCGTCCCCCTCTCAGGGTAGGCGGAACTTGCCGTAAGGCCTCTCCAATCCTCATGGGCACACTGGCCCGCTTGTGCAGGGTGGTCTACCTGTAGATCGATCTCACGATCTATCGATCGAACTGCCGGTATATCGATCTCACTATCTCATGGCCTTCGGCCCAGCCTGCCACCGTGCCCGCGCTGCGGCTAAGGTGTCCGGTATCGGGCCAGTGTGGCGATTGGCCTTCGTTCTCCAGGAGTGCGGCTGGAAGTAGCCCAGCCCAGCTCACTCACGAAGCATGACGACAACGAGGAAGTTTGTGTTGCCGGGATTGTTAGCCAGAGGCCTCCTCGATGCACAAGGGTCTTTTGGGACGACTTTCGGGGAGCTCTTGAGCGTCTCTTGAGGGCTTCTCGGGAGCCTCCTGGGTGCAACCATCGGGAAAGCCATCCGGACAACCATCGGGACAACCATCGGGACAACCGTCGGGACAACCATCGAGACAACTATCGGGACAACCATCGGGACAACCATCGGGACAACCATCGGGACAACCGTCTGGACAATCATCGAGACAACCGTCCGGACAACCATCGGGACAACCATCGGGACAACCACAGGACAACCGCGGGACAATTGTGGGCCTAAAAACGCCAACCGGCAACCGGGTGAAGGAGAGTGTTTTGCTCCGACGTCGCCCTAGATACGGCGGGATCACCCCTCTCGTCAGCGCGCGCAGCTGCGCCTCGCCCACACGCACGACGCGAGCACAAGCAACAACAGGGTCCCACAGGTGGGGTCCCACACGCTATTGTTCCACACGCAGGGATCTAACACGAAACAGTCCCACAGACAAGGATTCTACACGATAGGCTCCGTTATGATAGGGGTCTTCGCGACAGGGTCTCTGACACAAAATACAATTTGAAAAAGCGTGGACACAGAGCAATGGAACATTCAGTGATGAGGAAGTTGTACGAGCCTCAGATCGACAATATATGCAAAGACTCAGTGATTCTCAGTTTGTACATACAGCAGTGACGTCGGCCGAACAGTCGAAATGCATGATGCATCGAATGGATCGCGTCAGGGCGATGGCCATTTGAAACAACGAACCAGCATGCAACTATAACAATACGCGCTATTCAGAATTACGTAGTCACCCACTGCTTCGGATACGAGTGAGAGGACAAGGGGGCGCATAATGATGTGTTCGGGCGCCATAAGAAAACTGCAGGGGAGTTTGTTGCACAACAGTGTTGGTGGATCTTTCCGGGGGGGGTTGTCGACGGCCCGTGGGGCTCAAAAGCAAAAGTGAAGACGCCCGCCGCGGGCGCTGGCTTTCGGTGCCCAGAACACAACGCCCGCAGGCGCCATTCGCCTTGTGCAAATCAATGTAGGTAGGTCGCGGGCGGGTTGCAGGTGGGTCGTCGGTGGGTCGCGGGTGGGTCGCGGGTGGGTCGCGGGCGGGTCACGGGTGGCCCGTTGGTGGGTCACAGGGTGGGACTCGATATGGGACGCGGGATGATTCGAAGTGTGGGTGGTGGACACGGCCAAAAAGGTCTTCAATCGGCTACGCATGCTCCAGCGCCAAGTGAATTTGAGTGTCCGCGCGTGGTCTCAAGCTTCGCAGACATATCCCAATTTTGCGGTCGGACGGGAGCATCGATGATGAGCCCCGTGCTGATGACGGAGACGACGACGGCACAGAGTATCGCAGGTCGCCCGATGACGCAACAAAATGTGCGACCCCGACGCGAGCGCAGAAACATATTCCCAGCAGTTCTCCTCGAACTACAGGGCCCCACACAGCAGGGTCCCACACGATGAAGCCTCACGCGATTGAGCTCCATGGTGCCGCAGATCCCATCGCACAGCTTGCACGCCACGAGTTGTTTCTAGATTGCACAGAGAAATACATGATTTGGGGCCTACGCTGGCATCAAGATGTTCTCAAAGATTTTTTGTTCGCGGGCACCAGCCGGGCCCTAGACATTGAGACCGGGCCTCCCAGACAACAGCGGCACCATGCTATCTCGCAGAAGCAAACTGGATACAGCATGTATTTGGAATGACGTTATAGCTGGCACGTTCATTATCCAGAGAGGTTTCGACATGGAGCCATCTTGACTGTGGTTGCTATCCGCCCGTTGCACGCACAGCAGCCAGCCCGCCTGACGCACATTTCAACATGCAGGATGCTGAACACAGAGAATTGGCCCAGAAGATCGGAGACCTGACAGATTCAATCCTCCAGGTCACGTGAGCGAGTGTTCCATAAGTCGGTGTTGTTTCGGCGCTTTGACACACTGCATGCACTGTTTCACGCGGTCGGTCGGACATGTTCTCGTTCCAAGGAAGCCCCACGCCCCACCCATGAACGTCATCAGAGTGAGGGGGCCGAACGGTGATTCACAGTCCCTTGGTGCGTGGCTGAAGTGGGTTTCGGCAGTACGGATTGTTGTTGCTGCTGTTGCTGTTGTTGACTTCTCACTTCTGAAGAACAATTATTGTTGATCCCCCCTCCGGCGCACATTGTATGTTTCCAATTGAAAGGCCCTTCCCAGGGCTCGCACCTTGTTTTCGAATCAGGGAAAGTCTTGAGGGTCAAATTGGGCTCTGGCCCCCGAGCGTCAACAACAACAACAACAGCAACGTTGCGCAACGGCAGCGGCTCCCGCTTGATATTTCCTCACAAGATATTGAAATATAATGTTGTCGCTTGAGATGTCCTTGACATGTGATCTTTTTGTTATTCAATGTTTTGCCAGTCGGCGCGGGCCCTCGCACCAACCCTCTCCCCCCCTTCTGGAGTAGATCTTGGCTGTTTTTTGGCGCCTGTTCGAGCCGGTGGAGTCTCCCCCCCATAGGACGCACTGCTGCAAACAGTCGCACTAAGCAGAGGTCCGGAGCCAAACCCCCCCCCCTCCTCCCCCTTCCGCCCAATGTCGAAACGCCGAATAAGAAAACGCTCGCAATGTACTCAGGAATCGCGCTCTCGCTTAAGACCCCCTGGCAATTTATTCAGACGCCGCGCTCTCGCTTTTGTTTATTCCCGGCAGTTTATTCAGATGCCCCTCGCTGCCCGTAGTGGTTTTGCTCTCGCCTTCGCTCGCGCCCTTCATGGCCCCGTTGCTGCACTCAGTGGCCGATCGTGGCCCCTGCTCGCTCGCGCCCTTCTTGGCCCCATATGCATGCCATTCGTGGCCGCGCTGTCGCCCTTCGCGGCCCCCTTGATGCCCTTCGTGGCCCCAGTACTGTCCTTCGTGGCCCCGCTGCCGCCCTTTGTGACCCCATATGCGCATGCCCTTCGCAGCCCTCGCTCGCTCGCGCCCGCCGTGGCCCCATGTACATGTCCTTTGTGGCCCCGCTGTCGCCCTTCCTGGACCCTCGCTGCCCTTCGTGGCCCAATTACTGGCTTTCGTGGCCCCGCTGAGGCCCTTGGTGGCCCCGTATACGTATGCCCTTCGTGGCCCCCGCTCGCTCGCGCCCATCTCGGCCCCATATGCATGTCCTTCGTGGCTCCGCTGTCGCCCTTTGTAGCCCCTTCGCTGCCCATCGTGGCCCCGTTGCTGCCCTCAGTGGCCCTTCGCTGCCCTCTGTGGCCCCGTACACGCATGCCCTTCGTGGCCCCCGCTCGCTCGCAGCCGTCGTGGCCCCGTTGCTGCCCTTCGTGGCCCCGTTGCTGCCCTGTCTGGCCCCGCTGTGGCCCCTCGTGGCCCCGGTGCTGCCCTTCGTGGCCCCTTTGCTGCCTTCGGTGGCCCCGTTCGCACCCTTTGGTTCCGTTGCCACCATCCATGGCTCCGTCGCTGCCCTGTTGTGGCTCCATGTGTGTATGCCCTTCGTGGGCCCTGCTCGCTCGCGCCCTTTGTGGCCCTATTGCTGTCCATCGTGGCCCCGCGGTCGCCCTTCGTGGCCCCTTCACTGCACTTCGTGGTACCCCTCCTGCGAATTTCTTTCGTGCTCCATCCTTCGCCCTCCCCCTTCCTGCCGTCCCCTCTTCCCCTGCTTTAGGGGCTGCACTAAATGCACGTGGCAGGTAGGGACGATAGACCCCCAAGGGGACACGATCAAAGACGAAGAGGGCGGGTACCGAGGGTCCAGGATATACGTGTTGAGTGGCACGCGAGTTGATAGGAGCGAACAGTGTCAAAGTTGTTGTTGGTGATGGTGGTGTTGCTGTTCGTATTGTTGTTGGTGCTGGTGGTGGTGGTGAATGCTCATTTCTAAAGAATAGTTATTGTTGACCACCCGTTTCCAGTAAGAATTGCAGTTTTCAGTTAAAGTGCTTCTCCCGAGGCTCGCACCTTGTTTCGTACGAGGGAAAGTGAAGTGTCACCAAATTGTGCCCCTAGCCCCCGGTTTACAACAGCAACGGCTCCCGCCAGATATTTCCTCACAGTGTATTCCCAAATCGCGCTCTCGCGCGGGACGTCCTCACACTGTATACGGGAAGTGCGCTCTCGCGTGGGACTTCCTCGCAATTTATTCAGACGCCGCGCCCTCGACACTCAGGAGTCGCGCTCTCGCTCTGGCCTTTCTCACAAATTATTTGGGAATCGTGCTATCGCTCGAGTTCTCCTCGCGATTCATGCAGGACGCACGCTTCAGCAACCCGCCTGCCCCTTGCCCCTTCCTTCCATCCGTCCTTTCTTCCCCTGCCGTAGGGGCTGCACGAAATACACGCTGCAGGCAAGACTGATACACCCCTAAGGGGGTACGATCAAAGACGAAGACGGCGGGTATCGAGGGCTTGGGATATACGTATTGATTGACACGCGAGCAAAAAAGAGCGAACAGTCTTAAATAACTGTTGTTGTTGGTGGTGGTGTTGTTGGTGCTGTTGTTGGTATTGTTGCTGTTGCTGCTGTTGTTGGTGGTGATGCTGTTATTGTTGCTGCTTCTGTTGTTGTTGGTGGCTTTCTTGTCGTTGTTGATGATAACATGTTCCTGGGAACCGGTTGTGTTACGCTGGGGGGGGGAGAGGGGGGTGCAACGCAAGCGCGCAACGCTCGAGCACGAGCGTGGCTGGGTTGCGACCTCCCCCCCGCAAGTTGCGCCTTCCAGTGCGCGAGTTGCGCCCCCCCCCTTCCGCGTTTCGTGCGCCGTTCGTGGGGCGCCCCATAAGGTTTCGCGTCAGTGCGTATGGGATCTGTATCGGAGCCTATACAGGCCGTATGGGATCTGTATCGGATCTCATACAGGCCGCATTGGATCTTTATCGGATCCCATACAGGCCATGTGGGGTCTGCATCGGGTCCCATACAGGCGCATGGCAACAGTATCTGCGCCCATACAGGCCGCATGGGATTCGTATCGGATCCCGTACAGACCGCGTGAGATCTACATCGGTTCCCATAACAGGCCGTATGGGGTCTGCATCGGATCCCATACATAGCACTCGGACTCGGCATCGGATCCCATGAGGCAGCTTCGGACCTGCATTGGATCCCATACAGACCGTTCGGGGTCTGTATCGGATCACATGCAGGCCGTATGGGATTTGTATCGGATCCCGTACAGACCGTATGGGATCTGTATCCGTGCCCACACAGGCCGAAGTGGATGTGTATCGAAACCTCCTGTAGGCCGCTAGGGGTTCGTATCGGGCCTCGTACAGGCCGCATGGGTTCTGCATCGGATCCCATATAGGTCGCATGGGATTTATATCGGATGCCGTACAGGCCGTATGGGATCTGTACCGGCTCAGGCAGGCCGTATGGGATCCGTATCGGAGCCCATTCAGGCCGTATGGGATTTGTATCGGATCCCATACAGGCTGGATTGGGTTTGTATTGGAGCCCACACAGTCCGTATGGGATCCGTATCGGCTCCGTACAAGCCGGCATGGGATCTGTATCGGATCACACACAGGTTGTATGGGATCGGTATTGGACCCCATACAGGTCGCAGGGAATTTGCATCGGATCCCGTACAGGCCGTATGGGATCGGTATTGCACCCCGTACAGGTCGCAGGGGATTTGTTTTGGATTCCAAACAGGCCATCTGGGATCTGCAGTGGAGCCCATACAGGCCATATGGGATCTGTATCGGGTCCCATACAGGCCTTCTGTGGCCGATATCGGTTCCCATACAGGCCGAATTGGATCTGGTATTGGATTTGAATTGGATCCCGGACAGGTCGCAGGGGATCTGTACACGATCCCATACTGGCCGTAAGGGATCCGTTTCGGATCCCGTACAGGCCGCATGGAATCTGTAGCGGATCCCTTGCAGGCCGCAGAGGGTATGTATCGGATCCCATACAGGAAGCATGGGACTTGTATCGGAGCCCACACACGCCGCATGGGATCTGAATCGGAAACCACACAGGCCGCACGGGATCTGTATCGGAACCCACACAGGCCGCATGGGATTTGTATCGGAGCCCATATAGTCCGTATGGGGTCTATGGGGTCCGCGGGGATCCTTTCAGATTCTTACAGGGTCCCGCCGAGATCCAGTAGGAGTGCCATAGGTATCCGTAAGCATCCTACAGGACTCCGATTGGGATCCGTAGGGCTTCTATATGCTTCCTACAAGGTTCCGCATGGATCTTGTAAGATTCCGACAGGGTCCCGTAGGGATCCTGTAAGATCCTTGCAGGGTTCCGCAAGGATCCTGTAATATTATTACAGGCATCCGAAGGGATCTACTAAGTTCCTACAGGGTCCCGTAGGGATCCCATAAGACTCATACATGGTTCCGTGGGGATTCTTATAAGACTCCTACAGGGCTCCGTCCCTATAGAGTTTCCAGTAGGCCGTGTACCATCCCTATAGAGTTCCCAGTCGGTCCTGCACTATCTTCGAAGAGTACCGTCCCCAGAGAGTCACCGTGGGTCCTGCACCATTGGTATAGAGTTCCCAGTAGGTCATGCACAATCCCTAGAAAGTTTTCAGTGGGTCATGTACCCAGAGTTCCCAGGAGAAGCTCGTTTCGCGAGCGCGCACATCGATGTTGCGCCGAGAATATCAGTGGGAAACTCGATAGTTAGCCGTTCTCACCTTGTTGTTTGCTGTTTGTTGTTTGTTGTCGTCGTCCCGCCCGCGGCCCGGCCCGCGACCCACCCGCGACCCACCCGCGACCCACCCGTGACCCACCCGCGAACCAACCGCGACATACCCCGCGACCCACCCGCGACCCACCCGCGACCCACCCGCGACCCACCCGCGACCCACCGCGCGACCCGCCCGCGACCCACCAGCGAGCCACCATGCGACCCACCCGCGACCCACCCGCGACCCACCCGTGACCCACCGCGCGACCCGCCCGCGATCCACCAGCGACCCACCATGCGACCCGATCGCGACCCACCAGCGACCCACCCGCAACCCACCCGCGACCCACCTCGAGACCCACCCGCGATTCGCCCGCGACCCACCCGCGACCAACCCCACGCCCGCCCCCTCACTCTTATCCTCAATTGCGGGGTGCTACATATTCCAGTGCTGTGCCGCAAGCGCAAATGTTGCCAGACAGGAGTAAGCATAATCATTTCTAAAATGGTAATTTCCCCAGAAACTCGACACTGACCACAGCGGCTCCATAGACTACACTGAGTTCTTGGCCGCCACGCTGGACCGCAGCCTGGCAACGCAGGAGGCCCATGGACCAAGAGGGGACAGTTAGAGGAGCATCGCACAAAGGGAAGAGATGAGGAGAAGAGTCCTGGAAGCATGCGGCAAGTTGTGAATCGGAATGTTGCAACTGGCAAGTTGCAAGTTACAAGGTGGATTGGAAGTTGTCGCAGTCAGCTCTAGGAAGCAACATTGCAGTTGTGACCGTAATTGTTGTTGCAATGTTGTGACTGCGACCGTGGCTGTCACTGCAGCACCCATCGACAGACTTGACATTGTGAGTGAAATGGCAAGCTCGCTTGTATGAATGCCCCTGCATACAGACTGTTGGACCCTGCTTGGCTCCATTTAGGCATCCTGATAGCTCCAGAGTCCCACGAAGGCCTCGAGGGACTGCCGGGCCCTCCAGAGAAGACCCCGAGGACCTTCAGGGAAGGGGGTGGGACGGCGCTCTTTCTAAGCTGTCGTCGAAATCCACGCGGCTTCGCCGCCTTTGCCAGGGCCGCCCGACCATAAGGAAGCCGCAACCGTAGACGAGGAGGCGCCGCCAGAGACCACCCTGGGCGACAACGGGGACCGCCGACGCGGCGAGGTGCAGAACGCTCTCGATACAAAGCTTGAGGCGATGCTGGGCCAGCAGGGCACCCGCCCCCGGGAGACGAGCCACCACCGGGCGGTCCAGCCGCGGACCACCGGGCAGGCGAAGGCCGACCACCAGGACCCTGCCTGGCCAGCCCGCTGGCCCTGGCCGCTGGGCGATCGCGCACGCAGACGCCGCGCTCCGCAGGGCGAGAGGCGAGACGCTCGAGGTCGCCAACGTCGCGCTCCTCGGGGCGTCCTCGCCCGCGGACGGAGGAGTTCGCGCGGCCGCTGCTCCGCTCCTTCGCACGCCCGCGCATCCCGAGTGGCAACGGGGCAGTGGCCCTCGAGACCGCCAGCGCCGACGTGCTCGGCAGCCGCGCTCGGCCATGCTCGCAGCCTGGAACTCCTTCGTGTCCTCGTGCCCTCCGCGCGCACCCGGGATCGACGATTGCGCCCTGGGTGTAGGGACGGAGGCGGACCGAGGCTAGGATGCTTGACCGCCCTGCCCTCGCCGCAGCCGTGGCGTTGTTGGTGGTCAGCGCAATGCCCGCGGCACCCGCGATGCGTCCATGGACGCGCGCACGACGCTTCCATGTGCGTGCGTGCGGGGCGAGCAGGTGCTGCCGTATCAGCCCAGCGGCGGAGGGTGTCCTCGTCGCGAGCAGGATCGCCAGAGGTGCCGCACTGCCGTGTCGTGGCTCGCCTGCCGGTGGTCTTCCCCACTGCGCTTTCGCTTCCGTCTGTGCTTCTTCCGTATCGTTATCCCTCCTGCTCTCTCCTGTTGCCCGAGGATGGAAGAAAGTCGGCCGAGGGGTGACGAGCGAAGGGCTCCATGAGCGAGGGGCGAGGGAGGGGGGACGAGGAGTGGGGAGGGATGGAGCTGGTAGGGGAGTCGACGGGCAAAGGAAGGAGGGAGGATGCACGAGGGAGAAGAAGGGGCGAGGGACGAGGGCGGGAAAGGAGGAGGAGGACGACGCATCAACAATGTTGAAATATACCCTCCCTCCCGGTTCCCTCTCCACCATAGGTCACTACAAGGATTTGTTCTCATTGCATGAAGTGCCCCATTGGAAGACAACCGGCTAAGAATCTTCCATCGCACCAAAACACCATTCGTGGGATTTCGACGTCGCGGATCAGCGTGACTGATGCGCGCTGACAATCTCAAACCGTGCCAGAACATGACTGCTGCGTCCTGACAACCCTCGATCGTGCCTGGGGCTTCAGCCAGGACTGCTGCAAACGGAGAAGGCGAATGCGCGCAGCGCGCAGGCGAGAGGCACATTTGGAAGGTCACGCGCACATGCATTCTTGAAGCTGCTGCAAACTCTCAAGACACATGTGCGTGGCGCCAAGGCGATAGTCGCGTTTTGAAAACCACCCGCCCTCCAGCCTTGAGACAATCGCAAACTTTCACGACGAATGTGCGCGGCGTTCAGGATAGGGCCACGGTTTGAACAGGGGCCCGTCCATCCATCTTTGAATGTGTTGCAACTCCTTCAGACGAGTGCGCGCTTCGCTAAGGCGAAAGCCACATGTTTTAAACGATCTGCCTCCATCCTTCAAACTGTTGAAAACCACAAGCTTCAGGATCATACATGGTGAAGAAGTCTCGGGCAACACACCTTGCCCGCCCTACCGACACGCCTGGGGGTGTGGTTGGGAGAAGTATGTCAGGACAGGGGATGGAGGAGGATGAGGAGGAGGAGGACGAGGAGGAGGGAGCCGACGGACGAACGAAGGAGAGGGGATGGACGAGGGAGAAGGAAGGACGAGGGACGAGGGAGGAAGAGGAGGAGGAGGAGGAGGAAGGAGCAGGACAAAGAGGAGGAGGAGGAGGAGGAGGAGGAGGAGGACGAGGAGGGATGGGACAAATTCATGCCGATCTGAGCAGCACTGCTCAGCCGACGCCGAGGGTACATGGGACTGAGGGGCGCAGAGAATGATTGGGCCGCAGAGGCCGGGAGACGCAGGGAATGATTGAGAGTCAGAGAGGTGGGTACAAACAAAAAACTGCGCGCGAGCTCCTAACAAGACTTTCACGCAGACCATTTGGCACCGCCCCCCGAGGCCGTGTCCGACATGCTTTGCCCAGTGGAGAGTTTGACAAGAGCACGGGCCATAAGAAAATCCCGAAAGAAGCTTCTAAGAAATACTGCGATGCGATGCTTTTGTGGCCGATGCCGCGCAGAACGCCCACGCACCTCCCGAAGCGCGGGAGGGGCGCAATCATCACATGCCCGGCCGCTGATCGGGTGCGCGCGCACTGTGCAGTTCACGGCAGCCTTTGGCCCGCCGTGGCAACCTTCTAGGTTTTCCGAGGCCTGGGAGGTTGCGCGAGGGTAAGGCCCGGAGAAACAAGATTGAGCTCAAATGGGCGCAGAGAGGGAAGCGAAAGAGCTAGAGAGAGGGAGAGAGAAGCACTCCCCAGCACGTGGCCCAACCTTCGTGAAATCGTACGTTCTGCTGCGCCCGAACTCTCATGTCTAACAGGAGCTGGGGCCAGCGGATAGCCCCGAAAGGGGTGTCTAAGAAACACTGCGAGGCGATGCTTCTGTGGCCCATGCCGCGCAGGCCGTCCACGCAGCTCCCGAAGCGCGGGAGGGGCGCAATCATCACATGCCCGCCCGCTGATCGGGTGTGCGCGCACTGTGCCGCTCACAGAGCGGCTCTTGACCTATCCCCGGAGGGTTCCAAAGGGGTTTGGGGGGGAGGGGGTTTTACAGAGAGCCCCCCGGGCCCTCGGAACCTCGTCAAAACAGGGGGTGCGAAGCCCCTGGGGGACCCCTCCTGGAAAACCCCCTCACGGCAGCCTTTGGCCCGCCGTGGCAACCTGATAGGTTTTCCGAGGCCTGGGAGACTGGGGACGATGTTTGGATTATGTTTGAATGTGTTTGGAGCATGTTGGGCGTATGTTTAATTTTTCCTCCAAGATCCCCCTGTAAGGGGAACAGGCCCGACCTAACACTTGGCCTATCCACCTCTCGCGCCTCAAGGGTCGGGGACCTCCCGGCGAGCCTCCCCTCCTCGCAGCTTGCATCCCCGGGGCCCTCGGAACCTCGTCAGAACAGGGGGTGCCAAGCCCCATGGGGGACCCCCTCCTGGAAAACCCCCTCCCCCCCAGAACCCCTCCCTCTCCCCCCCTCCCCCTCCCCCCCTCCCCTCCCCTCCCCCTCCCCCCTCCCTCCCCTCCCTCCCCCTCGACAGAACCTCCTGGAAAACCCCCTCCCCCCCAGAACCCCCTTTTCTGGGACCCTCCAGCATCCACCTCGCGCACCTCACGGGCCGGGGCCCCCGCCGGCGGGCATCCCCGACCTCCCCCCTTGCTGGCAGCCTGCCTCCCCGTGGAGGCTCCCCCCCCTGCTGGCAGCCTGCCTCAGGGCCTTCGCCCGCCCAGCCGCCCCCGAGGCGGACCGCCGGGTCGGTCTGGCAGGCACTGCCGCCACAGCGAATTGGGCGCGCCCAGGCTGCACAAACCTGCACGAAGGAAGCGGGTACACATGGCTCGTGTCTGGAATTCTTCGAGAGCTCTTCTGATTTCTGTGAGGGGCCAAGATCCTTTCATTTCTAATATTTCTATCCTGGGCCTCTTCCTGGCCACCAGGGGGCCCGGAACAACTACCCAAGGAGCACAATTATAAATGAACACGATTAGACATGAACGACGTGTACAATCTGCACGAACGAAATGGGTACGGAAAGAATGCGCACAATGCCCCAAAGCAGTTCCTGCTCATTTTGAACAGGACTCGCTGTCCGCGCCGCCGCGGCCTGTGTCCATTTAAGACAGAAGGTCGCCTGCCCGACAGCGGCCGCTGTTGGTTTGGGACAACATGTGTTGTTGGGCATTGTACCCATTTTTCCGTACCCGTTTCGGGCGTCCAAATACAAGAAGCCTCGTGCGAATTTTCCCGAGCAATGGCCCTTCTGCTCGTCCCCCTCCTCGGAGATCGTCTGACGAGGGGCAGCACTGGGGGCGCCGCCAGGGCGCGCCTCGCTGCCTCAGCCTTGGACAGCGGTACCCTTAAGTCGGGCACGTCCCTCTACAGGAGGAAAATTCCACAATAGGTTTAACAAATCGTACGGGGACGACGTTTCGATTACTCTTTGACCATGTTTGAGCATGTCCTTGACTATTTGCTTTTCTTTTTATCCAAAATATCCGCCTGTAGGGAGCCATGCCCGACCTAAAGATACCCTCTGTCTCCTCCCAAGCCCGCACATCGGCCCTGGGCCAAAATGGCTCGCGCCCTCTCTCCACTTCCTCCCCCTCCCCCTCCTCTCCCTCTTCCCCCTCCTTCCTCCTCCTCGCCGGCATGGGCGTCGGCCCACGCACCCAGGCACCCGACGATGGCCTGCGCGCCCCGCGCCTCGCACCGGCCAGCTTCCCAACTTGTTGGGTGGCCGCTCCTCGCACCTTCGCCTCTCTTGGGGGCCCTCGGC